GCAGCAACAGCAACAGCAGCAGCAGCAGGGACAGTTAACTCTCGCCTGTTTCTGTGTCACTCATTAGACAAAGAAGAAAACAGGAAGTGGGCGTCAGTCTGGGACATTTCTATTGTCTCTCCTGTCCACAGACATGTCCACCAGAGGGCGGAGACGTTTGTTGTCACGGTGATACAACGTTACTGCGTCTACTGACGACATCAAGAACATCTTCGCAGAACGTAGTGAAAACCTGGAGAAAACCTGGAGAAAACCTGGAATCCTGGAATCTTTCCTCTGCAGCTTCATTCACACCATTCACCAGGAAGACGTTAATGGTCGTCTACACGATCCCATCAACAGCTCCACCCTCTGGAGACATCATCCTCATCCTTCCTTCTCTGGAATTCCTCTGTTCCATCTAACTGACTGCCCCCTGCTGGTCACCTGGACTCTGGGACAACACCTGGTCCAGGTTTACCCAGGTTGATACTGTGGACAGCATCAGGATCGACTACAGGACAGAATGGAGCGGTCGTACGGTGGCAGAGCGGTCAGTGCTCTAGCCTTACAGCAGGAACATCAACGGTTCAAGCCCTGGCTCCAGCTGCAGGAGGGTCCAAATATCTGCTGTACTACGTCATTCAAATGAACTTTGATGCATGTATCAGTACAGGGGTGTCAAACATCCGGCCCGCGGGCCAGAACTGGCCCGCTAGGTTGAATGTGACACCTGAACTTGAACCATTAAAAAAAAATTACAACGACAAAAAAAATTATAGAGACAGAGACAGATATGTTTCTCACCCCCCTCTGACCCCTCACCCCCCTCTGACCCCTCACTTTAAAAAAACAAACAAAAATCCCTTCCTTCCGTTTCTTTTTCAGTTCCACACAGACACCACTAGAACGTTTCCTGGCAGCAGTGAGTTGATTTCAGATTCGCACCTGCGACCCTCTGGCCACATGCCCGACCCTCTCACAGAACCACTGGTCCACAGGCCGTTCAACATCGATTTAAAGTTAAAGGAACAGTTCCTGGTTCGGTGGAAGTGGTGAATGTCGGAGTGATGTTGATGCAGCTGGAGGAGGAAGAGGAGGAGGAGGAGGAGGAGGAGGAGCAGGAGGAAGAGGAGGAGGAAGAGGAGGAGGGAGTCAGAACTTCCTGTCTCTGCCTCTTCATCTCTGTGCACTGAGAAATAAGTGAAAGGAGTCAGAGACGGAGCTGCTGGAGAACCGGAGCGGAACAAGGAGAAGAGGAAGAGGAGGAAGAGGAGGAGGAGGAGGAGGCTCGGAATCTCTTCCTTCCGTTCCTTTTTCAGTTCCACACAGACACCGCTAGAACGTTTCCCGGCAGCAGTGAGTTGATTTCAGATTCGCACCTGCGACCCTCTGGCCACATGCCCGACCCTCTCACAGAACCACTGGACCACAGGCCGTTCAACATCGATTTAAAGTTAAAGGAACAGTTCCTGGTTCGGTGGAAGTGGTGAATGTCGGAGTGATGTTGATGCAGCTGGAGGAGGAAGATGAGGAGGAGGAGGAAGAGGAGGAGGAGGGGGAAGAGGAGGAGGAGGAGGAGGAGGAGGAGGAAGAGGAGGAGGGGGGAGTCAGATGGAGGCAGAACTTCCTGTCTCTGCCTCTTCATCTCTGTGCACTGAGAAATAAGTGAAAGGAGTCAGAGACGGAGCTGCTGGAGAACCGGAGCGGAACAAGGAGAAGAGGAAGAGGAGGAAGAGGAGGAGGAGGAAGAGGAGGCTCGGAGTCAGCGGCGTCATCACTGCGTGCGTGTGGATTGTAAGAAGCGATGAAAAGTTGTCACATCAGAGCTGGAATCTTCTTGTTGCTTCCCCGAAACTCTGACTGATCCGGAATTTCACTGGATTTCGCGGAGAAAAATCGCGCTGCACCTCGTGCGCTTTTACACCCGTGGAGTCCGTGTGTGTGTGTGTGTGTGAGAGAGAGAGAGAGAGAGGGAGACAGTGTTTGCATGTGAGAGAGCGTGTGTGTGTGTGTGAGAGTGTGAGGATGCTGGAGGGCAATGCCCCTTCTTCGACAGGATGAGATTTGTCGAAAGGCGCTGGAGCTTCTGTCGGACCTGTGCTCCAGAGGGGAGGTCCAGGACGACCACTGTCTGGACTTCATCTACTACTTCAGGGACCTGGCCAGACCGCGATACACGGACTCGGGTCAGTTTTTACTCTCCTCCCTCCAACCCCGCTAGTTCCTTCCTTCCTTCCTTCTTCTTTGTTTATTTTTTTATTTTATTTTAACGCCGGTTCATGTTCTGGTGTGGGACCCAGAGGTGGACTGGAACTACATTTAGAACTTTGAACTTTGAATTGGATTCAGTCATCTCTGGAAAATAAATAATAATAAAAAAAAAAAAATTGTCAAATCAGTTCCGTATTCTATGATCCCATTTAGAGAAAAATAATGGGTAAAGCACAGCTCAGAGTTTTCCAACAACCTCGATGGTGGCCACTGATGTAGTTCAGGCTGTGAGGTAACGACTCCTCAGCCGCGTACGTCTTTGTATCTGTCTTTGTATTTGTGTTTGTGCCCCCCCCCCTGTGTATGTTGTTCTTATATGTTGCCTTTTAAAGCCGCTACGATCCGTCATTAAACATGCATGATGAAAGGGAAGTTGGAGCTCGCAGACTGGTTTCCCTGAGGAGCTGTGACCCACTTCCTCCTGTAACCGCTCTAAATGCACGCACACACAGTTTGATCCACAACAAACACGGCTTCCTCTGATCCAGACGGGTTTGAGGGCAGCACCGCCGCCGCCGCCACCGCCGCCGCTGCTGCTCTCTGGTTCTGCCGGAGAACGTGGGTTTAAAAATAAAGGCTGGACGGGGCCTCGTGTTTGGTGAAGAAAATACCGATACACTGAAACATCGCAATATTTACTTTTACGATCCCGTATCAATCTCCTCAGTCATCAGTTATTGATTATTTTCTCACCAACTCCCAGTCCAATATTCTCGGTGTTGGTTGATTTTCTTTTTCTTTTCTTTCTTCTCTAGTGATTCCAAATGTAGATCCCTCTGTTCCAGTGTCAGGAACTGATGTTCAGATGGAACAGAGTCTGAGACTAGGATCACACTGGGACTACAGTTAGATTGGGGAAAAAAACCCTCCTCGATATATCGTCATGACGACAGTATCGCAGTAAATTGTATCGTGATACGTATCATATCGCCAGATCTTTACAATATGATTCAATATGTCGCAGAGCCCATAGTATTGTAATATATCGCAATATATCACATCGTGACCCCTGTATCGTGATACGTATCGTATCACCAAAATCTTGCCAGTCCTCAGCCCTATTCAATACTGTGTTGTAGGATGCAAAACTTTTAGTATGGGTACTACCTTTGGTCATAACCGGTTATGAGTCCCATATGGGCCAGAGCCTAACAAACCAGAATTGGTCAGAATGTTTCTATCACACAGAGAAGATCGGCCATGGTTAATGAGTGGTGGGTCACATGTCGCCCTAGAGCCGCAGGTTTGGAACCACAACTACAGAAAGAGTTTGAACTGATTTTTTTTTTTTTTTAAGTAATAACAACAGGATAAATTGACGGCTCCTCCGTCCGAGGAACTGCTTAAAGGTTTCAGAGAAAACGGTTCTTCCTTTTATTACATCCTTGATTGCGTTCTGGGGGTTTTGTTGCCAGGCAACACAACATGATTAGATATTTACTTTGGAGGAAGTCCGTGTCTGTGGTGACGTTCCTGGATCAGACCAAGATCCTGAAGGGTTTTTATTTGTTTGTTTTTTTTTAATTTTCATCATTTTTCTCTGACATTATCTCTGTCCACCAGGTTGACCTTTGACCTTCAGATATGTTCTCTTATTGACCCACTGCTGACTGGGCTGTTACAGGTTATTGAGCTGTTCTCAGTGTCTGCTTCCTTAGAGGATAGGGGTGTGAAGGGGGGGCAAGAAGGAGGATTCTGGGAATTTGAGGTCCAGACCATCTAGGGCCAAGTTAGGAGTTTTTAATTCAGGACTTGGAGAGATCTTGGTCTGGAAGAACCTTGAAAACCTTGAAAGCCTTGAGTGGAGAGATTGGCTTCATGTCAACGTGTTTACAGCTGGTACTGTGTCGTTCCCACACCTGGTGTCAAGGCTGGTTCAGAAAACAGCAGTTCAGGGAGTGTCATGTGACTCCACTCCCCTTTTTTTCTTTTTTTTTAAAATAATTTAACAACTTAAATTTTCACAGTACATTAAAGTACATTAAAGTCTAAATAAGTACTTTAATATTTAATGGAAGTAAAATTTAAAAAAAGGGAAACCAGGTTTCGCTTCCACTCAGTTCCACTGGAAAACACACTTTATGTTTTAACTGTGATTTGACTCCACGGTTCTGGACCTGCGGGCTGTAATCTAGACCCGACACAGTCTCAGCCATGTGACCAAAATATCAGTTTGTCAGAATATGGTGAGGAAAGTTAAGACCAGAGCTAACATTGATTCCCGGCTCGGTCACAGACAGATGGAGCTCAGATCACCAACAAACACAGTGGACTTTTTTCAATCTGCCTAAATGTCTGCACTGAAATATGAGTCACGCTAAAAGAAAAATAATGAAAAACTTAATCAATAAAACCTGTGTCTAATTTCACCCCAAAACACACCAAGCTAATCTAGACGTAGCCCGGTCTTAAAATAACTAACTAAATAAAAAAGGCCTTGAAAAAAAACAACAACAGAAAATTTAATGAAAAAAAAAAAGAAAAGTGAATTAAAAATGTGGCAGAAAGACGTCTGCCACCAATTATCACCTGAAATAATCCATGAAAATAGCTTGGAATGAGACTAAAATAGTTTGATTATTTCAGGATAAGTCACTGAAACAGCACCTAAAATATAAAACAGGAAGCTTAACTACTACTAATCAACAAGTTAGCTAAAAAATGTCAAGAAGCAAGGATTAAGTCAACGTCTATCAAAGGAAACAACAATAAAAAAGAGAGGCTAAAAATAGCCAAAGGAACTCGCCCCCAACAACAGATACAATTAGACTTAGCAAAATAGCTAAATGCTAAAGCTAAACCAGCAGCTGACAAACACCGTCAGCACCGTCAGTGTTAGCCTTTAGCTAAGTTCAGGAGCAAATGTCTAAGATGAAGAAGAACAAGAAAACCTGTTAATTATCATTTGTCAAATCAGAAGGATTAATGTTCCAATCCAGGCATGGGCAAACTATGGCCCCGGGGGCCAAATGTGGCCCGTTTGGCTTTTCAATCAGGTCCGACAAATTATGTTGTTAATTTATATTATCGCGTTACACTTGAGCATTTCAGCCGTTTTTGTAATTTATACTATCGCGTTACACTTGAGCATTTCAGCCGTCATGCATGACTTTTGAGTTGAGTTATTTATCTTACACAAATGCTCCATCTATCTGCCCCCCCCTCCCCCAGCCCCCCGTCAAATTTTAGCGGGTCAAAGATTTTGTCCACGCCTGTTCTAATCCCAGATTTACAGATGTGACCATTTATAACCCTCCTCACTCTTCACATTAGGAGCTGGTTTATTATATTTTTGTCAGCTGTTATATCATAGTCCAGAGAGAGAGAGAGAGAGAGAGAGAGAGGGAGAGAGAGATGAAGTGTGTGTAGGATGGAAAAAGCTATAAAGGCTACCGTCCCAGTGAATCAGCCATTTAGCGCTGATGCTTACTCTATTAAAGTGGTTTAATTGCAGGTTATTATCTGTGTGAGTGAGTTGGATTGGAAACAGAGATTCACTGGCCCGGCTGAGAGGATCTGCCCGGTCCTGGACCCGTGTTGGTCCTGCTCTGGGACCAGAGTGAGGATGTGATGGACCTTTAATGAACCTGCCAGTCGTCGTCACTAATCCGACCGCAGAGAGACGGCACCAATAACAGCAGCTCCTCACCGCCGGCAGTTACAGCGCGCGACGTGTCGTCGTTATTATCCTGACGTATGGATTTAATAATAGGAACCAGACCAGGACACAGGAAGCTGCCAAGTAGTGGTTCATATAAAAACTCCAAACGTTTGTTTCTAAATGTCTCTGCAGATCAGATTTGATGACATCGCAAACAATCACACAATCTTCCAGGCCCTACTTTCCTCTTCACCTTCCTATCCAAACAAACTTGTTCTTCTAATCACCATCCAGTAAAATCTAAAACCTGCTGCCAACGTTTACATTCCAACACCAAAGGTCACACCAAGGTCTCCTCTTCTCAACCAGGATAAACCCGCTGCCAACGTTTACATTCCAGCACTGCAGGTCACACCAAGGTCTCCTCTTCTCAACCTGACCACAAGGTGAATCATGGGAGGATTTTTTTTTAGCCACGTTTTCGGACCGCTCTTATTAACGCCTCAGAATCAGACACCACTGTCGCACAGATTCACGCTCTCCAACCACAGACAATTACTCTCATCAAAATGTGTCTCGCCTCGTTTTCATTTTAATTGTCGACATCACTGAGTGAGGGAAGAGCTCGCTGATTGTCGGATCTCCTAAATCCAATTAAATGTCAGCAGCGGAGCCGGGTCTAGACCTCGTTGGGTTGATTGCGAGTTGACGAGCGGAGAAACCCCGTGGAGTTAGAGGAGACGACGTCGCAGGTTCGTCTGGGAACGGTTCAGAAACGAACGCCGTGTTTCTTTGTTTTAATAGTTTTTGACCCTGATGTAAATCAAGGTATTAAAGGGACGTTTTAGTGCGGGGACCAGAAACTAGGTCTGTAAGACTACATTAAAACTCGGTCGGTTTCTATTTGTTGTGATCAGACAAGGTTCTAGTCCAAAAGACCTGAAGCCAACAATTCAATTTGAAACCATTAATTCTGACATCACCGCTGACGTCACGGATCAAGCACGGAGCCACAGTTTGTCAACCGCTCCAATCCGTCACGGATCAAGCACGAAGCCACAGTTTGTCAACCGCTCCAATCCAGACCAGGTTCTTGGACGTGGAGTAACATCTGGTCCATCTGGTCCATCTGGTACCTGGAGCTGGTATTTCCAGCAGTGACTCCGTTCACTCTCCCTCACAGCCGTCTGTAAGGTCGTGATTTAAAAGCAGTATTTGAAGTATTAATAATGGATCAAACGACTGTGTACGTTATGAAACTGCTGCCTTGTCATAACAAACCACTAAAGAAACCACAGAGCGGCCGTTTGAACCCAGCGGAGCGTTTAGCAGCTATAGACTCAGATCGTTCCCTCGGAGAATTTACAGAGCTGACTTCAGATGTCGGCCGCCGTTGTCTGAAACAGTGTCTAATCAGATCTGGTTTTTAATCTGTTAACATTAAAGACATTACACTCTGGTTGAGTCAGATTCAAACCAACTGTCAGTTCTGCATCTCCTCCTGGTTTTTGAACGGTGGAGAAACCTGGTTTATTTGGACAGAATTTCAAATAAATGGGAACCCTGGTGGGACTGGGATGTGAACCGATGACCCACTTGCTGTGGGCGCCAATGCTTACCACCTGGGATTAGATGTCATCAAGGCAAAGCAATATTCTCTAATAATGATCTATATAGATAAAAAGAGATAAATGTAAGGCTAACGGTTAAAGTTAGTGGTGCAGAAAAAATACTGCTTTCAGAGTTAAAAAAAATAATTTGTGTGTCTCACAGATATCTAGAACAGGAGTTCTCAATTACCAATCTTTTATTCAGTCAAAGGTTTAGCATGAACGGAAATTAGGGATATTAGTGATGTCCGATAATATTGGCCGACCGATAGATGGAAATTAGCCATGTCCGATAATATTGGCCGACTGATATTTTTGGCCCGATATTATTAAATTACATAATATCAGTTAAATTTGTTATTAGTTTTTCCTCCGATAATGAAAACCCAATAACGCAACGTCTGAGTTAAATTTATACCAAAGCTAACGGTAATTTATCTTCTGAGCACTTGTCAAAACAGAAATATCTTAAAGGTAGCTGTTCTGTTTTTGTTTTTAGCAATATTCCTGATAGAAAAACTTTAAAAAGAATATCTTCAAACATTGGATATTTGGGGATTTTAGTTGTCAGTTAAAGCAAAAGCTGGAAGGAGAATCAGGGATGTCCACGGTGATGGACTCTGGTCGACGTCAAATATAGGATTTAACTGGGTTTGTGTACCGTGGTACTCACACATAAAAAAGAAAAACTCCTGAACTAAAAATACTTTCCATGTGGTAAAACTCCTGAACTAAAAATACTTTCCAAGGATTTTCTCTTATTTTCTACACCATTAACAAAAACCCGTTTATTCCAATCAGTCGGCTGCAGCCTCAGGACAAAGACCGTGAAGTGATTTCCTTTTAAAGTGAAGGACCAAACTCTAATGGCCTCCATAAATTAGCTCATGTCAAAGTGGGCCGAGCCCTGGAGTCTCCGCCGTCCCATTAGGAGAATCTCTGGGCTCTATTAGCAGCGAAGACAAATAACAAACACTTTCAAAGGCAAACGCTGTTAAATGGAATATAAATATGACGGTTGACAGCTGTTAAAAGCATTTTCTTGATCTTCTGGCACCGAGGAGGTACATTATGATCAGGGTTGGTGTGATATCATCAGAATGTTCTGGACTCCTCACAGAGCCAGGGCAGACTCACGGATGTGTCTGTCGTCCACCGTCTTCGGAGGACGGTCTGATCTCTGCTTTTAGTCCACTTTGTAAAAGGCTGCTCCACAAGGACGGAGAAATCCTCCCAGCTCCAGCCCACTGACCACAGTGCTCTTTAGCCAACAGTTAGTCAGAAACCTCTCCACGGCTAATGGATTACAACACTGTTCCTCTGTGGTCTCAGATGTCAGTCCACCTCCGAGTCAGTCAGAGACAGAACCTTGGACTGGAAGAACAGGGCTGTGTATTGGCAAGAAGGTGGCGATACCGTACGTATCACGATACGAAATATTGCAACTCAAAAGGCACGGCGGTATAGAGTATAGGGTACCCTATATATATAGAGTTTAGAGTCCAAGTGTCTCTCGAGTCTCAGACTCTGTTGAGTATTTTATAGAGTCCAAGTGTTTCTCTAGTCTCAGACTCTGTTCCATCTGAACATCAGTTCCTGACATCGGAACAGAGGGATCTACATTTGGAATCACTAGAGAAGAAAGAAAAGAAAAAGAAAATGAACCAACACCAGGAATATTGGACTGGGAGTTGGTGATGAAAAATCCATAAACTAATGAAGGATATACGCATTTGTATCAATATTTTCTCACAACCCTAGTAATTAACACAAGACCGGTACCAGTTCCATTTCTCAGGTCTTTTACAGGTCACATGACAGCGTTCACTGAATCTTGAATCTGAGTCAACGTTTTTTCTTTTTGTTTGTTTGTTTTTTCTGATCTCCAGATGTGTCAGTGAGCCTACTCTCCCTGCTGGTGACCACCTGTGGTCTGGCGCTCTTCAGCGTCTCTCTCTTCGTATCATGGAAGATCTGCTGGAGGCCACTGAGTGGCCGCTTCTTACCAGATGTGCTCAAGGGGGCGCACTTCCTGGGGGGAGACCAGCAGCCCGTCCTCACAGAGGTAAAGAAGAAGTGTTTCTATTGTCTTATGTATAAACACACGACTCTATCTTTGAGACTCACCATCTGTAGAAGGTAACTGAACGATGTCTGTGTTCCAGGTGGACGGGGAGGAGCGGGAGTACAGCGAGGACGGCTGTGTGAAGGAGTCGTCTGGACTCCACTCTGCTGTGGCCGTCCCAGAGACGGGCCTGAAAATCAGCCACACGTCGCCTGACATCCAGTTAGAGACTCAGGCCAAGGTGGAGAAAAACCAGGTCCACACTTTGGCCAGAGACAGAGTCCAGAGACAGACGACTGAGCCGACCTCGTCTGTACGGTTAGCAAACATCAATCCCTGATTCTACTGCGTACCGTCAAGTGTCTTTAGTACATTCTCAAATGGTTAAAAAAAAAAGGTGGAGTCACAAAAGGACCAACGAGTTCTGAACTGTTCTTTTCCTGGTTTAAAACCAGTTGAATTTTTCATGTGTTGTTTTTTTTTTCCGTAGGCACAACTCCATCCGTCGTCAGATGAACTTGTCCAATCCCGACTTCAACCTTGCTCAGTTTCAACGACAGGATTCTCTGTCAGGCTTGGGCAGCCTCAAACCAGAACTCTACAAGCAGCATTCCGTGGACTCGGAAGACGGACGCCACAGTGGCAGCTGTGGACGTCTTCAGTTCATGCTCAAATTTGACTTTGACCTGGAGCAGCTGATCGTGAAGATCCACAAGGCCCATGACCTTCCCGCTAAGGACTTCTCAGGAACCTCCGATCCTTACGTCAAGATCTACTTACTGCCTGACCGTAAAACTAAGCATCAAACCAAGGTGCACCGCAAGACACTCAACCCTGTGTTCGACGAGGTCTTTCTCTTTCCCGTGGCGTACGGCGAGCTGCCCAGCAGGAAGCTGCATTTCAGCGTCTACGACTTTGACAGGTTTTCACGCCATGACGTGATAGGCCAAGTAGTCGTGGACAACTTTCTGGATCTTGCCGACTTTCCCCGGGAGACGAAACTGTGCAAGCACATACAATATGTAACCTCGGTGAGATATGGACTTCTCTTTACTTCACTGTCTTTGTGTTCGTCCTCGTTCTGACACCAGGTCTTTCCTGGACGGGGTCTTTGGGGTAAAAGTATCAGTGGTAGTTTTAATCCCTGGTCCTCTTCTCTGTCTGACCATATCCTGGTCAAACCATCGGTACGACCAGTATCACTAGCGCGGGCAGGGACTTGTTTCTGATTTCTGGTCCAAGTGAAGCTCCTCTGAAGTTTGAGGAGGCAGAGACATGAAAATATACTTAGATACAGTTAATGTTTAATGAAAGCAGCAGGGGACACTTGTGGGGGGGCTAGTGGGGGGGGGGGGTCTAGTGACCCAGATCTTCACTAACACTTAGCCAGTGAAATAGCAACATTTGCCCGTACTACATTATTCACTCTGAGGAAGCTACAGCTTTGGGTTCTCAGCCTGGAGTCCAGCAGGTTTTCAGACGTTTGTCGGTTCAGTGGTTCAGGACTCAGATACGGGTAGACGTGAGTGAGTGAGTGAGTGAATGAGTGTGAATGTTGGGTTTTTTTTTTTTTAAATACGAGGATCCCTGCTCTCCACGTCCCTGAAACTTCAGTATGATCCTCAGCTGGACGTAGACTGAGGAGGAATTACCGAGACGACGGCTTTAAAAAAAAAAGTTTAGAACAACTCGGAAATTCTGCTCATCAGCACCACCTATGTGCACCACAGTTGATGTCTTTCAACTCAGTGGCTAATTCCAGTGTTGTCATATTTAAATATATCAGCTGGATGTTAGTCTGTAACACCGAGCTAGCAGCCCAACAACAGTCGGTCTGTAGACCTCTCCACATTTAACTTAGCAAGAATTTCCCAAGTGTAGGATCAATCAAGTTCACATTATTATTATTATTATAAACTGCAGGGAAACATAATGTCCACGTCATCAGGATGGAGATGTTCTGATGTTCAGGCTCAAAGATTTTCTCACGGAGAAAAAAGGTGATTTAAAAAAAAACTAAAGTCAGAATATCTAAACAAACGGGCTTCGTTTGAAGTCTGTGAAGTTTGGCCAAAGTCAATGAGGCTTTGAAATTCATGAACACAAAACAACAACAACACAACAACAACAAAACACATCTGCTCCTCGGGAAATAATGAAGTAGAGAGGCAGGACATGATCGTTAGCCAGGTTAGCGCTGCACCAGTTCAGACATGTTACTGATCCCATTAGACTGCCGTACAAAGACCCGCTGAGAAAACACTACACAATACACACAATACACACAATACACACACACACACTCTCTCTCTCATCTGTTGTTCTAACACCTTCCAGTCCCTGGACAGACTCTCAGATGAACAGGGTCGGTGTAAATGGGTTAGATGTTTCTCTGTGAGCCCGACATCTGAACCAGAGCTGCAGGAAGTCCCCCGTGTCAGTCACGTACTAAATATAATCAGGACTTCATCATTTATTTACTAAGATGAGCATGCGATGCTAACTGCTGCCGAGCAACGATGCTAACTGCTGCCGAGCAAAGATGCTAACTGCTGCCGAGCAATGTTTGAGCCGAGGCCACGGAACCGAAAAGTTTCAAAGAGCTTTTATGGACTTTTGAGTGAAACCATCCTAAGAAAGGCTTTTTATTCTGCTCCTGTTTTTATTCAGAGGGGCACTCACTCAATTACCCATATCCCAGTCTCCCTCTTTACATCCGGCTGATCAAAGATGCTAACTGCTGCCAACCAAAGATGCTAACTGCTGCTGAGCAAAGATGCTAACCGCTGCCAGGCAAAGATGCTAACCGCTGCCGAGCAAAGATGCTAACTGTTGCTCTTTTCCTGCGCACGAACAGTGAATCTGTTTTAAGGTGTGTTTGCCTTAAAAATGATCGCAGCTTAAATTCACGCTGTGTTTTTTCCATTTTGAACATTTTGAAGTGATATGATAAACTTCTATTATGATCATTATTCACTCCTTGAACGAAAGTCCGTTCAGAAAACCAACCGTTGACCATCGTAGCCAACAGCAGACGTTCACGCCAAACGTTTGGTGACAACATTTTTGGAGACTCTTTTATCACACAGTGTCTCCTTCACAACTGGGTCACACCCCCTGGGTACATGGGGCAGTACCCTGCACTGGTCCAGTCCCCGGTGCGTGTGCATAAATCATAGAACACACACACACACACAAACAGCAGACTTTAATTTATGTCCTCCCGAGCGCTGCCTTATAGAAAATGAAAGGAGCTTCATCCTTGGGCGTGTGCGTTGACATCGTCAGCGCCGCCTGAACTTGTTCCTGTTCGCCTCATTAGACCAGCTGATTAGTGTGTGGTTGAGGAAAAACAGCCCTCGTCCTTTTGTGAGATTTTTTAATTAACCTACAACCTGAGGTTGGTCGTCTCTTCTGTGCGACTTCGTGTTGAAGTGTCTCACTGTTAACCCACATACTGTTAATTACTGATGCAGCCATTAAAGTCCCACAATGCACCTGAGGTATTAAAACATACAGCATCTACCACAGGCGGGGGTGGGGGGGATTCACAACGATGATGATGATGAACAATAACTAGGACTGTGCCTTTAAATCATTAACATATATTTATTAATTATAGAAAAATAATGTATCACACACTCCCTCCCAGTAGGTGGTAGTAATGCACCTAAAGTAAAGAAGATGAACAGGATGGACTGAGTGAACAAGAAGCAGCTACGGAAGACCATGCTTGGCAGAACAAACCACCGTTCACACCACCATTCACACCAACGTTCACACTGCCGTTCACACCACCCTTCACACCACCGTTCACACCACCGTTCACACTAACCATTCACACCACCATTCAAACCACCGTTCACACCACCATTCACAAAACCATTCACGCCACCATTCACACTACGGTCATTTCAACAGTGAACATTTCATCCTGAACATGTTGACTATAAGGAAGAAGTTTCAGAAAAAAAAGTTTGAGAATTTGTTATCGTGAAACGTTTCGCAAGAGGCTCGGACAACTTTTCTTTTGTTTTTACTTCCGACATTCTCTCTCTGGACCAACTACAACGCATCATTTCTCCCTGACCTTTAACCCTCGGGCTCGTTTCCTGTAGACCACCTTGACTTCATCCTGTACATGTTGACTATAAGGAAGAAGTTTCAGAAAAAAAAGTTTGAGAATTTCTTATCGTCAAACGTTTCGCAAGTTTCGCAAGAGGCTCGGACACCTTTTCTTTTTTTTTGTTTTTACTTCCGACATTCTCTCTCTGGACCAACTACAACGCATCATTTCTCCCTGACCTTTAACCCTCGGGCTCGTTTCCTGTAGACCACGCAAACTAGTCTATGGAACTGTTTGGGTTCAGGACGTCGTTTTTCGGACATCTACGATGTTCTTACTCTGTCGTCCTCATCTGAAGAACCTCCTGAAGACGAAGACGATGAAGAAGACGATGAAGAGTTCAGAGACACTGGAACCTGCTGCTGGTCCAGGACCAGTCAATACTATCGAGTGCAGTCTGGTTGGCCTGTAATTAGGACCTTGATAAATGAGTCCACTGTGTGCATACAGTGTGTGTATGTGTGTGTGTATGTGTGTGTGTGTGTGTAGACTTCATTCAGTAAAGCAGGTTCCCGTTTCCCAACAGTGACAGATGGAGCCGTCCAACCAGCACTTGTCCTCCCATTTGACCTTATTGACTAAGTGAGAAACATGATGCTGCAGAGGCTCATGGTCCGTCGAGTCGGTCTGTGATCCTGACTGTATCACAACAGCGTCCAGAGAACCTACAGATGTTGGCGCTAATCATTCCCAGCTCTTTAAGCTAAGCTAACGTTCAAGTGTACCATTAGCATGCTACCGGTGTCGTCGCTGTATTTACATTTATGCATTTAGCAGATGTTTGGTTTGTTTTTTTATCCAAAGGAATCAAACGCTACGCTTCCCAGGCAGGCGTGCTAACCGCTGCACTATGGAACCGACATCTGTAATTAGTCCAAAATGTTGTGTCTTCAGATCAACAGATACTGTAGATCATAGCCAGTGACGACTGAAGCTCCTGTTCCTCCGTGTTCTTACGGAACAACCAGTGGAAAACAGTTCCATCACGGGGTCACGACCGTTCAGCACGGACTGAGAAAGTTGTGTCATCTACACCCCCCCCCCCCCTTCTGCCACGGTGCGTTCACTTGCTCAGCCTCAGTCAGTGATTTATTTACTTCCACCGTGTTCATCCAACCACAGACGTGGTCCTGTTGATGAGGCCTCGTCCGACCTGATCTGCTGTCAGTCCTGACGCTGAGTCCCACTGAAGTTACTGCACTTTGGTTTTTGGTATTTTTTTTTATTTAAACATGACTTTCCTCGGACTTAGCTAACGCGAAGCTAACCTTTAGCCTCAAAGTATTTCATACTGATAAATATCAGGGAGTACTTTGAATTTAATATAAAGTAATACTTCAAACTAGGGATGTCTGATATTAACTTCTTGCTGATATCCGATATGCTAATTTTCGATTCCAATATCAACCAATACCGATACAGGCCTGGTGATATTTATTTATTTATCTGTTCAAACCACTGTATGAGTTCCTGACACCAACGTTCTCCATCAAATCCCCTGATTATTAAAATAAATTAATAAAATGATCTACAATGCTGCCACCTAGTGGCTTTCACATTCACATACAGCCGTTTTCCCCCAAAACAATTTTTAGCTCACAAACCATTGTGTTATCGGGATTTCATTATCGGAGAAAAAAAAAAACAACGATAACGATTCTCACAGATATTACACAGTTATGCTAATATCGGTCGGCTGAGTTTATCGGACATCTCTACGTCAGTTTCCTGGTGATGACGAGGGGGGGGCGGGGAGTCCTCTGTGTGTGTGTGTGTGTGTGTTCTTCAGTCGAGTGCTTTACTCCAGAGGAGCTGATAATCTCATTGGCCAGAGCAGCAGTGACCGTGGTCTGACCACAGCCTTGGTTTGAGCGCTGGTACCGATGGGTGTGCTGCACCAAATGACCACTAGGGTACCTGAAGGTCCGGGGTCTGTAGTGGAGTCAGGATTAACGTCAAGACCAAGATGAGACGTTGATCTGTAGCAGATGATGTAGAGACAAACTGAGGTGTGTGTGTGTGTGTGTGTGTGTGTGAGAGAGAGAGAGAGAGAGAGAGAGAAGGGCTCACAATGGACAAACGTCAGTATATGTGTGTGTGTGTGTGTGTGTGTCATGGGAGCAGGTTATTGCATTATCTGTGGAGAGCTGCAGGCCTGCCAGTATTCCAGCTTGTGTGTGTGTGTGTGTGTGTGTGTGTGTTCCACCTTCCGTTCCATCATTAACACCCAGGGCTGTGTGCAGCGACAATGATGCAACGTCAGAGGCAGAGTGTGTGATTCACAGTGTCATGGACCTCCAACAACAGCTTGTGTGTGTGTGTGTGTGTGTGTCTGTCTGCCCTGTCAGAAAATGTAATGAATTATTTCCCAGGTGTTTCACGCAGAGGAAGAAAATGTTTTCCTTTTTTCCTCAGTGGTTTGTCAGAGTTCACAACGATAAAACGTGGAGAATCTCAGACTGGTCTAGAAGGTTCTACAAGAATCTGATGAATGTTCCTCACACTTTGACTCTTTGACTCTTTGACTCACTAGCAGGACTGTCCGATAACATCGGCCAACCGATATTACTAGCCTGATAATTAAGTCATATCTGTAAGAATCGTTATCGTTTTTTTCCTGCGATAATGAAAACTCGATAACGCAACGTCTGAGGTTCACCAAATGATGTATGACCTAAAAAAATTGTTTTGGTAACGTCTGAGGTTCACCAAAGGATGTATGACCTAAAAAAATTGTTTTGGGGAAAAACCATTGTATATGAAAAAGAAAGACACTAGATGGCAGCATTGCAAACCAATTTATGAATCTATTTTAATCATCAGAGGGAGACACTAGATGGCAGCATAGCAGATCATTTTATGAATCTATTTTAATCATCAGAGGATTGGATGGAGAACGACATACAGTGGTTTGAACAGATAAACACATAAATATTATCAGGTTCAAATTGGGGGGGGGGGGGAAAAAGTGAATTCTTGGAGGGTGAGGGTTTGGATCAGAACCCCTGATGAGGTGGTTCCACTGAATGTGTGTGTGTGTGTGTGTGTGTGTGTAGCTAATTAATCCCTGATCAGTGTGAGACTGAGCTCATATTGATATATGAGCAGGCAGTCATTTTCCTCCAACATGTCTGACCTTTAACTAGCTTCCTTGCTAATTAGCCGACAAAGACCAGACCTAGAATCATTAACGTCCTGTGGATTCACCAGAGCAGGTTAACTGCAGGGACACGGAGCAGAGCAGCTCTTTTTTTTTTTTTAGCTTTTAAGCTAATCGTGAGTTTGAACTCTGAAGCAAACAAAACTAAAAATAAAAGTCGAACCATTGTTCGTGTCCCACAAACGCCCCACGGGCTCACACTCTGCCGTCACACACTATTTCCAGATCTGTTAATTGGAGGTGAGAGGAGCGCGGCGGCAGACTGAACGTAGATAAAGTTGTGAAAATGGGGAAATTCTCTCTCAGGGAGGNNNTGTGAGTGGGTGTGGGGGGGGGGGGGTCCAGAAGATACCGACAGGAAACCAGTGTTGTACTGGAGCAGGTTCACACACTACAATCACACACAGTGACATCACGTCAACATGGCCGCAGACCTGATCTCGAGTTAGGAGGGTTTCCATTTTTTGCTGTTAGCAAGAAAGTTTGACTTGTTTTTCCTACAAAAACAAAAGCATTTGGAGAAACTGACGCCTACAGGCATTTGCAAAAAAACAATGACACCTACTGTACCGTGATGGAACAGCAGTGTTAATGGTGTCACAGAGAAACGTGTCATGAAATGTGTTCAATTGTCTGTAATTAATGAATCTATTCAAAATGATCACGTCATAAAAACAGCCTCTACTATCACGTCACAGCGCCCCCTACTCACATATAACCTTCACATATATTTCATATATAAACCTAATAAACTGTGTGTCATTTGAAAAGCTTAGTACTGGCACCATTTGAGTCAACAAATATAGAGGGTTCCAGCACCAAGTTTCCCATCAGTTCCGAGGTCTGTAGTCCAAAGACGCCCTAGTGGACGCCCTAGTGGACGTAGGTCTGTAGTCCGTGGACGCCCTAGTGGACGCCCTAGTGGACAGCATGTACAGTGATTCCTGTTGAAGTATTTATTATTATTACTTCCACTCTCCAGTCCTGACTGAGACGCAGGTGAACTTTGACCACAGAGAATTAGCCTCGGCGCTAACGTTTGTTTTTCTAATCTCAGGACAACGTGGACCTGGGGGAGCTGATGTTTTCGTTGTGTTATCTGCCCACGGCTGGTAGACTCACCATCACTATCATCAAAGCCAGGAACCTCAAAGCCATGGACATCACTGGAGCCTCAGGTGGGCGCTGACGGTCACTGCAGTGTCTGAGGCCTTTTTAATGAAAATTCTAATTTTTTTTTCCTGACATCTGGTCTCGTGTCCTTGATCAAAGACGTTCATTCTTTGTCCCCAGACCCTTACGTTAAAGTTTCTTTAATGTGCGACGGACGCCGACTGAAGAAGAGGAAGACGTCGACGAAGCGGAACACTCTGAACCCTGTGTACAACGAGGCCATCGTCTTCGACGTTCCTCCGGAGAACATCGACCAGATCAGCCTGCTGATAGCCGTCATGGACTACGACAGGTCAGTAGGTCAAATATACCTGGGCTAACACCAAAAACACACGATAGTCTGGACCTTTGAAGATGTTCAGGTTCTGTCCGATCTCCTAACATCAAACACAACAAAGCCTTTCTAACCAAAGAACATCAGTCGTGGACCTGCAGGATCTGGTTTTCACCGAGGACTTTGATACGTAGTGATCAGCCACGCCCTGTTATGCTCCTTCCCCGACCTAGTAACAAACTTTACTGTGTCCAGTACCACAGTCCACGGTACGTTACACCATGTACTACCCTTGTATTTGTATCTTGCAGTACCACTAGTACAACCAGCAGAGCGACACTGATCAAGTACTGATCAAAATAACTAATTCAACATAAGAAGTTTTTATTCTTATTTAACAGACAAAAACCCCCAACAATTTCACCCCTCTACCTCTGCCCCCCCCACCCCACACACACACACCAAGATCAAGCTAGAATATGTATTAATTTAAAGCCCCTGTTCAACAGTTAGCAACCAAATCCAAATGTGGATCATATTCCTCTCCACACCATTAGAGGGCGTCTAAATTCATGTCACAGATGAAACATATTTGTGATATGACGTGATATTAAACTTCAGACTCAGCAGCACAAAGACCAGGATGTTCTGACTGCAGTGACATGGAGCTGTAGCAGCTGTTAGCATTAGCATTGAGCTAAAAACAAATGAAACAGTGACTTACCTCCAGGCCAGGCTGCAGCAGGAGTTCCTGTTGGTTCCATCTTTGAAGCCACGGCTTCATCCACGTGTTTCCTCCTCTTCTTCTTCTTCTTTCTTGTTTTTTTGTTGTTGTTTGGTTCAAATGTTGTCACAGGAAACACCAGAGCTTCCTGATGACACAGCTCTTTTAACTCCATGTTTGTCAGCCATTTTGAATCATTTCTTTAGTAACAAATTTCCATATCTGTGTTCTCAAACTTTTTTTGTACCAAAAAAAGAAAAAATAAACAGATAAAATCCCCAAAGATTTAAACAAAGAGGACCAGGCTTCATGTGAGGGAAACTTTCAGAGGTGACACAGGTGGGACAGATTGGAGCAAGAAAACAGGAAGTGAAGACTCCAGCATTGAGATGTGACACTCATTACCAAAATAAAAGAAGAAACAGGAGCTTGAATAGTGAGCAGTTAGAACCTGTCCAACTGTTACTGATTTGTTTATAATAATAATGATAATAATTGAAATCATTTCTGTGCTAACAATGCTAATTCTTTTAGTTATAATTTAGCCATCACTCCATCCATTCTGTAATCGAGATTTTTTGCTAGTTTAATTTAGTAACTGAAAATAAAAGTTAAGAGTTTTTATTTTTAATATTTTTGTTAAAAACTAAGACTAAAAACCCAAACTCTTCTTTACACCTTCTCTGACCTTCAGGGTCGGACACAACGAAGTGATCGGCGTCTGCAGTGTCGGCACAGAGGCCGAGAGTCTGGGTCGAGAACACTGGAGTGAAATGCTGTCGTACCCTCGGAAACCCATCGCACACTGGCACCTGCTGATGGAGGTGAGGTTGTCGGTGCGACGCTGCAGTGTTTGAGTCTGATCTTTCATGTTGACGATTGTTTTTTTTCAAACGCTGCCATGATCTTTTCATGCTTCTGTCAAGGACAAGAGGAAAAAGGTGAGACGAGATGCTTTTAGCAACTGACGCTAGCTCTGCTAAATGGTAAAATGCTAACGCTGACGCTTTGGCCTGACCGCAAATACCAGCATGCTGATGCTCACCACACTAGCCTGTTGCTTTAGCGTGCTAATACTTAGCCAATGCTGCTGGGGTGTGTTTATGAACCAAAGTCGTGGAAGATTTAACGTAAGTGAAGCGAACACGGCTGATCACGTTGATAATTTGTTAGCATCGCGGCTCGTCAATTAGCCGTCTGCAGCAAAATGTCAACGCAATCCATCCAGGAAATGTCAAAAAATTTGATCGAAAGACACAAATGTCAACCTGGTGATGGGATTAGAGGAAATGTCAGAGAAAAGCACGACCGTTCGTGTTCATCCCTATCAGCCGAGCATCGTTGATATCGGCCAATCAGTGTCCACGGGTCGTGAGGTCAAAGGTTGAAACATCGTACGTTAGGATAAACCAATCAGACGTCGTAGAACTTCCATTCACTCCTCGTGTCAGGTTTCACATTTCACACTCAGGTGTAGCCATGGTGTTGGCAACACACACACACACACACACACACACACACACACACACACACACACACACACACACACACACCCCCCCTGCCTCTGACACTCATTAAAAAGATCCGCTCTGACCAGATGCTGGACACAGATCCATACAAATTCAACACTGAGGTTTCAAAGCG